TTGTTGCATTTTGAGCACATTACTTCTTGTCCTACCTTCAGTGGACAAAGAGAACAATTGATTGCCACCCTCTTTATAACAGCCCTTAACATATATGAAGACTGTTACCAGGTCCCGCCTCATTCTTCTTTTCTCATGACTAAACATGTCCATTTCCTTCGGTCATAGGTCAGCTTTTCTAAACCTTTTATCACTTGTGTTGTTTTCCACTGGACTCCCTCCAATTTCTCCACATCTTTCTTAAAGTGTGGTGCCTAGACCTGGGCACAGCACTCCAGCTGAGTCCTCACAGTGCCCGTAGAGCAGGACAATTACCACCCGTGTCCATAGGTGCTGAGGATGCTGCTGCACCCCCTGGCTTAAAGTGGTTTCCATCATATAGTTTGGTTCAATGGCTCTCAGCACCCCCACTATACAAATTGTTCCAGCACCCCTGCCCGTGTCTGACATACGACTATTCCTGTTAACACGCCCCAGAACAACATTCATCTTTTTCACAATTGCATCACGTTGTTGGCTCATATTCAATTTGTGATCCACTCTAACCCCCAGATACTTTTCAGCAGTACTATCATCTACTCAGTTATTCCCTATTTTGTACTTGTGCATTTGATTTTTCCTTCCTAAGTGAAGTACTTTGCACTTGTCTTTAATGAATTTCATCTTGTTGATTTCAGGTCAATTCTCTAGATAGTCAAGGCTGTTTTGAATTCTAATCCTGTCCTCCAAAGTGCTTGCAATCCCTCCCAGCCTGTTGTCATCTGCAAATTTAATAAACATACCTCCAATCCACTATCCAAATCATTAATGAAAATACTGAGTAGTACAGGACCAGGACAGACGCCTGTAGGACCCCACGAGATATGTTTTTTTACATATCAGAAAATAAATACTGCAGGCCATTTTGCTTCCTCTGAGAGCCAGGGGACCAGAGAATCCAGGAGAAGGGCCAAAAGTCAAGTAGCCCAGGGGTTGTCTGTTTCCTCTGTCCCACCAGATACTGGTTCAATCTTGCTCCGTGCCTAGGAAATGGTTCAGTGTCTTTTTCAAACATGAAGTCACTGGCTTGGTGAGGAAAAGAATCACCTGTCATGTCTGCACATGGAATGAACTCCTCCTCATTGGCAGTCTGACACTCAGAACTTTCCCCCCTTAAAGTTCCATGAAAGACACCACAAGAATCGAAACCACAGGGATACTACAAAACCTTTCTGACCCTCAGGGACTTGGGATGTTGATACTGTCCTCAGTACCTCAATGAAACACAGGAAAAATGAGGTGTTGATACAGAAGTGGGTACAATAGTAACAAAATGAAGAGAAAGTTTCCCCTTGTAGAGGAACTACAAATTATACTTTGCATCACTATGTGTGATGGAGGAAAGGATCAAGTCAGAAAAACACTTTTGCAGTTCATGCAAGAAGTGGTTCTCAACCTATTTACCATTGTGGGCCACATATGCAGCTCTCTGTGTGTTATGTGGGCCGCATCCACACGATATATATTCTATCTGTATGGCTCTGAGGATGTCACAGGAGCCACAGCTGTGTGCTGATGGCTGCAAGTGGCCAGTAGGCTGTGGGTTGAGAACCACTGATCTAGATACAACAGTGACAGGCATATTAGAAATGCATATGTTCTTAATAGTTTATAGTTTTCTCTTTTCTGTTGCCCAAGAAAGGTCACTGTAAGATTACTGTGAAATGAAGCTCTGTTTTAGGTTCTAGGTTTCAAGCAAGGATAAAATCCATCAGGGTAAATCATGACTTTTCTAGTCTACACTTTGGGCTCGCACTGGACTTGTATAGCTCCAGCCACTGCTTGCTGGAAACTGGACAAGTTCCCACTGGAAACAAGGCTTTTGTGTTCTGTGTGCATGCTGATCCTTCTGAAAAGCCAGGGCTAACAGCAGCTGGAAGCAATATCAAAGCTTGGACCTGCTGCTGCCAGGCTTAAATTATATTCACTGCTGACAATTTTTCAAAGCGAATTTTTAGTCATTGGCACCATTGGGGTCTTCGTCTGAGAAGACTCAAGCAAGCAATATTTGCTTGCTTTTTTTTTTTTTTTGCCCAGTGGGAATTAGCCTGTAAAATCTATTCTGACTTGTTTGTTTGGCCCAAGAAAAGTTAGAAATTCTTGTGTTCTGAGAACATTTTTTCCCATGGTGCTTCTTTTGTTAGTTTGGATTTTTAAGAAGGGGAAGCTTTGCCAGATTAGCTATTCTGCAGCTGCCAGCAACAAACTATCAGGAGCTCAAGATGAGGAAGATGCAGCAGTTTTCCTTCACAGGGGCTCATTCGAACATTTTTTTCAGCTTCAATTCACCTGAGTTCATATCTTCCGTGCTTTGCTTGGAAAAGTTACCATGATGCAGAATATGGTTGCAAATCAAAATGGTTAAAATACTGTTTGGTCTTACATTACAGATAAGACTACTGTGTTTTAACAGAATCATGCTACAGTCACTGAGAACACGGAACTGAACAATGTTTTGACTATCTACGGTGCAAGACTGAATTGTTCATTAGCTGCGTGTTGTGCTACCATGTTGGATGCTCCAGCATGGAAACTTTTCACAATGTATGCAGGCCCTTATAGCCAAGGATGAGCATACCACGGTTACTTTTATCTTAGGGAGGCAAGAAATCATGCCTTTCAGATTTACTACATGGATAACTTGAGGGCTTATCATTTAATTGAGGGGGGGAAATATCAAACCTCAAAACTTAAAGATGTGAAAATTAACTTTTACCAGTCAAGACTGGTCCCAACTAAAGCCTTGTGTCTGAACACTCATGCTTTGGGAAATTTTGAATCTGGCTCCATATTTTGTGGATGTCTCCAGATCTCTATAATGGACCAAAGTCTTAGATTTAAACAACCCTAAACTTTGGAGAAGTTTGCCTTAGGATCTGGATCCAAAGTATATAGTTTAGGCCTGTCTCTATCTGCTAGCATCTTACTGCTGTGGTCGATGAATGGACAACATTTTCTCGATAAACTTGTCTGATTTCATTAAAAACTTTAAACTCAGCAAAGATTTACTCAAAGCAAAATGACAAGTTTCCCCCGGCTTTGTGCAGAAACCTCATGGAATTATAAACTTCATCTGATTTTGTTGCACAGCCATAAATCAACACTGGTTCACTTAAAACTTGGCACAGATTTGATCAAAAATGTCAAGAACCTTCGCAAATTTTTCAGTGAACATGGACAAGATACAGTCTTGATACATAAATTCACTCCAACACTTTCTGCTAAATTTTTGTATCAGCTCCTTATATGTATAACTTTCAGTACCTCAGATTAAAATATACTAGAGATGCTTTAGTCTTGTAGCTAAAATGGAAGCTGTGTTTTCTGTGATCCTTCAGCTAACAATCAAAATAAGAGCCAATTCCTGTGATGCAACAACTGGCACTTTATGAATATGGGAGAGAAAAAACAGCAGGTTACCGCTTCACAGTCACTGTATGATTCCAGTGGCCCAGAAGGCATAACACATGGCCAAACACTTCGTGGAGTTGAGGAATAAAACACAGGATGAAGTATAAAAATAATGTTCAGCTACTGTATTCAATTTTACAGGTTGAAGTTATTACATTAAAAATAACATGAACTATAATGCTTAGACATCAAATGATCATTAATAGAGTACAGCCCTAGCTGCAATAGTCTTTGCCAGTGCAGAGACAATCAGTGTAATGTACAGGCAAGAACACACACACACACACACACACACACACACAC